ACTACTTCCCCAACAACTATAACTGCAGCCCCAACAACTACAACTGCTTCCCCAACAACTACAACTGCAGCCCCAACAACTACAACTGCTTCCCCAACAACTACAACTGCAGCCCCAACAACTATAACTGCAGCCCCAACAACTACAACTACTTCCCCAACAACTACAACTGCAGCCCCAACAACTATAACTGCAGCCCCAACAACTACAACTACTTCCCCAACAACTACAACTGCTTCCGCAACAACTACAACTGCAGCCCCAACAACTACAACTGCTTCCGCAACAACTACAACTGCAGCCCCAACAACTACAACTACTTCCCCAACAACTACAACTGTGGGTCCACCAACTACCACTGCAGCTCCGCCTCCTACAGGCCAAACGTCTAACGGTAAATCACTTAAGAAAAGCAACATAACTTTTCTTGAAGTAAATTAATCCACTGATTAATTGGCTTCTTTTCATCCCTACAGGTTTGGAGTACCTGACACATCTAAACATGAAGTTAACATCTTCTGGAGAGATCAGCAATGGAACCATAGTTCATCTCATTGAACAGGTATGTAAGCTACAATAACTCACAAATTATTTGGTTTTTCATCAAAAAGAATCATAAATATTAACACTTTCTTTCTCTTCATTTAGTTTTTCAGAGAGCAGCTCCTTAATGGAACCGCCCCCAAGATGACCGTACGACGCATTCAACGGGTTGGAGTTAACCCATAGACGAACAGCATCTACATGACATGATCTCTGTTATTTAAATATATATGTGTGAATGATATTTATACTTATTGTTGTTTATTTTAAATATTAACATTTTGCGTATTAGGCAGTTTTCCCAAAAAGGTAGTTTAACAGTCTCTCCATGATTTCTGGGTAGATGAACTCAGAGTTGGTTTTCAGTTCCAGCAGCTAATCACTTTAAGTTCAGTCAAGTTTGAGTATCTGAACCTGGAGTTGGATATGGACGATGTTTAGCCAGTAAATATTATCCACGTTGAAGTTGGAACACCTTAAACGTAGGTCAAAACCTTCACCAAGTCTAAAACAGAAATTATTTTTGTTTCAATATCAATCCGTCTGGAACAGAAAACCTGAGTTTTCTCAAAGTTAACTTAATTTTATAAATAACCTGCTTTCTGGAAAACCCTCATGAAATACCAAAGTTTAGTTTGTGTAGATTCAACATAACTTCTGAACTCAATGATTTCTCTTTTCATGATTGACTATGCAAAGTCTTATTAGTATAAAAATGTAAAGTTATGTGCATTTTCTAATCAATGTTTATTTTTTATTGTTTTACTGCAGAGTCTACTTTAGTTGCATTTTTCTCAGTTTTGCAGATGTACAATCATTTTTAAAACTCTGAATTAAATTGTTTTTGTTGATAACGTCATATTTATTCTAATATACGTTTTGATTGCATTTAACTTTTTCAGCTTTGTGGTTAAAATACAATTAAGGAATTCATATGGACTGCAAGTCATTTATCTTTATATTACCTCAGTTCAAAAACCAGTTAAAGTGGAGCTTTGGGAACATGTTATATTAAATACGACAAAAGTACATGCAACCTAAATTTATGTTGAATTTTTTAGAAATTCTGAGGTTAATCTCAGAAATTTTCTAGAAAATACAAGGACTTTTCTGAGCTTGAAAAGTAAAAAATTTGCAAGAAAAATACTAAAATTTTTAAATCTTAGAAATTTTCAAGAAAAAAAACTTGCGCGGTTGAATTAAATGTAATTTCTAAACATTTAGTTTGTTTTTCTGCTTGGATAGAAACAGGAAAAATAAATATTTTTGTAATTTTTGACATGCTTTTAAAGAATTAGTTTTCTTTTGATCTTAACCAATTTATTTCAAATTCCAAGTGAAGTTTCTGCTCTTCTTAAACCTTAAAGGAAGGAAATGATCCAAACAGATAAAAATGGAGAAAAAGAAACCAGTCTGATATCTGTTGACAAAATACAAATCCAAAATGTAATAATACTGGTATGTTTATGATTTCAGGACTCGCACGACACTTGTTCATTTGTTAGAAGTATTCATGCAAAGTGAAAATTATTTACCTTAAATTAACTTTATTACAACCTTAACAAGTGTACTTTGGAGTAAAGAATTAAATATACATTAAATGTTAAAAATAAAACTATTTAAGTAGACCATCTTCAAATTCCCAACTGTGGAATTTCACTGTAAATTACAAGATTATGTGTATAAACAACATTTTTATTGTTGGGATAAATGACTTGAATCATCATCCAGGGTTTGTTAAAATACACAAAACAATCCAAACAGAGAAAACAACCAGCAGGACTCTGTCAACAATTCATCAATAAAATCTAATCAGGAGTTAAAACACTTGAGCAGACGACATGTTTGCTTCTTTTTACAAGAACTACGTCGTCATTTCAGGAGAGATTTGATCTCTGCCTGCATGCAAACAGCTTCGATCCAGAGTTGTGTGTAAGGTTCTGTTCAGCAGCACCAGCAGGTCCGAAGCCTCTGGGACTCCTCTGGGCAGAAACAGCTCCAGAGAATCCTCAGAACCGTGAGGGAGAATCGGGTCGGACGAGGCCGGGTCCTGAAAAAATAATTTAAATAAATTAATGTCACATTAAGGGAAACCGTGGAAGATTTTCAGGCCAGTTTAGTGAAAATATCTTCTCACCTTTGAAAAACTAAATTAAAGGCTTGAACTCACCACTACAGAGCATCAGGGCCAGACGGAGGTTTATTTATTTTTAATTATAATAAAACCAGGATATGATGACGATAAGGTCATATCATGAAATAATTATTAGAATAAAGTTGCTAAATGAGAACAAAGCTTCAAATCTGATATTTTCTGTGATTTTTTTATATATATTCATTTTAAAGTCGAGCTACTGATAATAATTTGCTGCTATTTAGACGGATTAAGCAGGTCCCATCTCCAAAACTGATAGTGAAAGTAAAACTTATGACTTTTTCCCCATAAAATTACTTCATTGTCCTAATATTACAACTTTATTCCTGAAATATGAACTTATTCTCATATAATTACTGTTACTTGATTTTTCCAAATATGGGTTTATTTTTGTTTTTGGGACCTTATTCTGGTAATATGACTATTTTTATATTATTACAATTTTACTTGTTCATTTTTATGAATTTCTCCTCATGACTTTCCCCCCCATACATTTCTCTCATAATGACTTTATTCTCATATTGCCACTTTATTCTGGTAATATCAGTCTCTAATACTCCATCTATTTTACGTTCACCATCGTAATTCCATCTGGTATTTTTTGCAGTGTAAAAATCTTTGTGTCATTATGTTTATGATTTAAATCGTTAATTTAAATCTGATTATTCTGTGGCGTTTCATAATCTAACCGTTGGTGTTCAGCCTCACACAGGAATGGACACATGTAGTTCATGATCACCAATAATCACTGATTATTGGTTGGTGATCGCCGATACCAACCTGTGAGTAAAAACGCAGAGAGACGAGTTTGGGGAAACCAAGCGGAGGAAGATGATTGGCTCCTGTGATGAAGAGGAGGAGGTCTTCAAAGGAGAAACACGCTTCACCGTCTGATTCAACAGGAGGAGGAAATGCGTTTAACGGTTCGTCACAGCTCAGCCGGTGTGTGTGTGTGTGTGTGTGCTTACCGCTGACCATACTCAGGACGGTTTCCCACTGAGCCGCTGTGGTTTCCTCAGCTCCCCTCAGCTCAGAGTCCGGATCGCTGAAGCAAAACGTGAAGAGGCGTCTGAACTCCTCCAGGCTCGGCGCCCGCCGCTCCGTACTGGTCATACTGGTCATCACTGGCAGAAACGCTTCCCAGTGCGACTTCACCAGATCCCACAGCCGCCCACAGCTGTTCAAGCCCTCCAGGAACTGGGAGATCATACTGGCCACCCTGGAGTTCAGGAGGCAGTCAGACTGGAGCCACGTTTGGCTCAAAATTTCTGAGTTTTTGGTCACAAATTTTTAATTTTTGGCGCTCAGAAAATTCTGTTTTTCTAGAAAATTTCTGAGATTAATGTCACAGATTTCCAACTTTTTAATCTCAAATTTCAACATCTTTTCTAAAAAAAAAAATGATGTTGAAATTTCTCGAATTTTAAAATTTGTGAGATTTTTCTCAAAATTTTAAACTTTTCAAACTTAAATTTCAATGTTTCAAGAAAATCTATGAGATTAAACTAAAAATTTCTCAGGTTTTTTTATGTGCAAAGTTTGGATCTTAGAAATCTTGTTTTTTCTAGAAAATTTTGGCATACTGGCCCAAATTTCAGTTAACACTAGAAATTTTCTAGAAAAAAAAATTCAGAGTTATAAAAAGTAAAAAAAAACAAAATTTAAAAAAAAAAACAAATAAAGCCAAGAAAAAAACTCAAATTTAGAGAAAATCTTTCTAGAATTAATTAGAATTTTTTCCAGAAATTTCCAATTTATCTCTAGAAAAAAATTTTTGGTGCAAATTTACTCCTCTTTTCTTGTTACATTTACAATGCCCCAATAAGTCATCATACAATTTGTAAAATTGTGGGGTTTTTTGTTTTGCATCAGCAGAATATTTACAAATATTTGCACAGATTTGTGGTGAAAACTCAGCTTTTGGCAGCAGTAGCTGACAGAGCTGATGTTCAGACGAAAGGCTCAGACCTGTGGTAGACGTGGTGTTTCACCAACCGGCCGTAAACGGCGGGAATCTCTTTGGAACAGGCCGGATGGATCCCACAGCCGGACAGCCAGTCGCACAGGCTGGGAGAGAGATGCTTCACGTCGCTGCAGCTCTGCAGCTAGGAGAGAAAAACACACTCAGGGTTTCATGTAGGCTGATAAACTGGTCTGATGAGACACACAGGCTGCATGACGTCCACACAGAGAAAAACAACCAGATTACTCTGCAGTGCGACTCCTCTACCAACTAGGACTCCTCAGCTGTCATGTGTGGTGCAGGCTGAGCATTTTATTTATATTTTCATAAACACTGAAATAAGCCGTGGATGTTAATCAGGATGAGTTCGCTCCACCTCCTGCAGACGGAGTTGAGCGTCAGCATCAACGACGTCGCTCCAGTTAAAATCCTCCAAAGATGCACTTTGGCAACACATCAGCTGCAGGAACAACCAGAGAAAAATATTTTATACGATACCTGCAATGATCTGCATAAGTTCTGAACGCAAATGTGGTTTTAACTTGTTTACTGAACGTAAAATATCCTATTATATATGATGACTGTTTTCCCAAAGCATTCTCAGCTAAATTAAGTTAATAATAATGTTACAATCACATTCATTAAAAAAAGGAATGAATATTTACTGGTATGCTTTGGTTTATTTTTTTAAATGTAGTTAAAGGTTTAAAATTTATAAACATTTAACCTGCAACAGAACGCCCGCGTGCCGTTCTTAAATATGTTTGATTTAAAAATCAAACGTATTTAAGTCCGTTACCATTAGATAAAAACATTGTTTCTGTGCGTAGCTTCAGCTGTCAGCAGGTTCATGTTTGTATCATGCAGAATAAAATGGTTCCTGCTGAGAGGCGAACCTGGTAGAGGGCGGGGTGCAGACAGCACGGTCCAGGTCCTCCATGAGCCAGCGACCAGCCAATCAGAACGCCCGCTTCGTAGTACAACCCGTCGTCCAGCGCTGTGAGGTCATAGGTGAAAAACAAACGCTCCGGACGACCCTCAAAAACACAACTCTGCTGCAGCTCCAGGAGGGTCAGCCTGAACGGGAGGAAATCATCTCAGGATGTAAAACACACCTCCATCGCTCAAAGATGGTAACCAATTAAAACGCAGTGGACCAGCGGCGCCCCCTGCTGGCTGGCGGTCAAACTACAACACCAAAAGAAGGCGTAAACCAAGCCAGTCTCAAACTGTGCTCCTCGCCAGCGCCCCCTAGTGGTCCGTAAGGTACTGCATGTAAACAACCGTTTACTTACTGTGAGCTGAGGTCAAAGTGCATACAGCTATCTTACCAAAGGATTGCGTTTAAAAATTACAATGGTTTTAATCCTCTCAGTCAAAAGAAAAACTGAAGATATGGGAGGAAAGACAAAAACAACAGGATTATTTTTATGTGAAAAACCTTCTGAGCGACTCGATTCTTTTAACGGCTCCATGTGAACCGCAGGACTCAAATCTCCGTTGGTCAGAACCGACTTGGCTTCCGCATAATGCTCTGCTCACATGTCAGCTATTGCTTTTATTTACTTAAAATGACTCAAGTTAAATACGGAAATGGGTGGAAAATTTTATATTTAATGCTGGTTTTTGTTTCTGCCAAAGCAACTCAAGTCC